GAGCCGAGGAGCGGCTCGCGGGCGCATGCGCGCAACGCGCGCCGCGCTTTCCTGCGTCGTCGCGAAGCGAGGAACGTCACCACTCGCCATGCGTTTACCGCCCACTACCATATACGGCCTCTGCATACGCGCTAGCATCGAGCGAGAGCGAGAGAAACGGAAAGAGAAAGGGAGAGGGAGATAAGCGCCGTACCATCGTGTCGCGGAGTTGGATAATTCAGGCCCGCGTCCACGGGCCAACGCACCGTCCGTTTCTCTTAACGCGATATTGCGTGTATGCGTGAGAGGCGAATTACTGTATCTTTTTTTCTTTTTTAGATATGTGGTCTTTCATTACCACGAATGATCTTGCTGGATGTACATCTATATCTTATGTCGAAAATGTCTTTGATTTCGGAGTCAGCTGGAATTACGCCACGGAACTCCCGAAGAGAAGATCACTTCCTCTAAAATCTTTCCGGTGATCTTTCCCAGTCACGGGTTTCCAATTACAATTTTTAATCTTGGCCGATCTTGGCTCCGGATCTCACGCGACGACATGCGCGCGCATACAAACTCGTTAACCCTTTACATCGGACTTTTTATAAGAACATATCTGGTCTATTTATTTTTAAATATCTTTGAGATCGCTGATTATAGGAAAATGGATTCAAAATATAAAAATTTAAAGTTCATTATAGTATATACGAAAGAATAAAATATTTAAGATATAAAATTCTAATTAAATTATGTATCATAGAATTTTTTAAAACCGCTAGATATAAAAATGATAGATCCTATATGGCGAATACAAAAAATATATATAGATATATATAATTTCTTTCAATTTTTATAAAAATTGTAACGTTTTCAAGAAAGAAATGTACTTTTAAAAAACATATTTTTATTTTTATGTAATCTATTACTAAAGGAATATTTCTAAATTTAGCTTGAATTTACAAACTGACACGGAGAATTTGAACTCAGCATATGAATGCTTATTGGATAAAAAAATTTAGGTTTCAATCTCTTTATTATTTATATATTGACGGTCATGCGCATTACATGTAAACCGAACACAAAATAATCGATAAATTGTAAACGAGAACATTTGCATGTTGACGATAGACATGAAGAGTAGCATGAATTTCACACATACTAACATTATATCATGTAAGTAAATATCAATTTTTAAGTTATAACTGTATTCATAATTTATCTAGTACTGACAAATAACTTTTGATAATGTAGTGTTCTAGGGAGCACATTGATGTAACGTAATAATTAAGAAATATTGATAAGGATCCGATACAAGGATCGAAACGTATATATTCTAATACAATAAAGAATTTGACACACAACTACACCTAGTGTTTAGACTCGATTGGCATTTTAATATTACGAAATTTTAATAATTCAAAATATTTAAATTAATTTTCTGGAAAACTTTATTTTCTGAATTATGTCGTAATAAGTGAGCAATATTATTTATTGGAGACTTAAGAAAGATGAACTTTTAATATGAATGAATAATGTGCTGATTGACAAGACAGGGACACGGTAGTGCGGTATACTTCCTTGCCAATCGTCTCGGCTTCGCGAAGAATGCATTCGTGGACAGAGGTAGGGAGAAAAAAATGGGCCGTGTGGAACATATCCTGAGTGCGCAACCGGCCGACCTCTCCCAACTGAGATCGGTGCATTACATCAACGGTGCGCAACATCGTTACGATCTCCGGAGCTCCGGCGTGCCTTAGAATGCATAATTAATAACTCTACCTACTCACTTGCGATATACGAACGCCGACCAAGGCGTGAACGTACAAGGTGATACCCGCGAGCGTGTCGCCGATTCATATATTAACGACGCACGTGCCGTGCACTAACGACGCTCTTAATTGTGATTTATTTCTTTTTCTTCCTTTTAGAGAATTTTGCTTATTTTAGAGATTCTATAACAGAGTTATAGAGAATAAGCAATTTTGTCAAAATTCTACGAAAGAGAAAGATTTATATCATTTCTCCCATGCATTATGTATACTCATTAACTTTAACCAAGATTATAGAATAAGAAAGTATAAGTTAATAAAGTGAGAGAGTATTTCTCTACGAGAAATTATATATACCTTTCTCTCGTAAAAGATTTTGACAAAATCGCTTGTAGCTAAACTCTGATCATATAGGGTCTCTAGTTAATCTAACAAAAATGTTTTGATTAAGTCAACAAAACGTACCAACAAGAAATGGCATTTTGAGAGCAATGGATATGATTCTGCTTGGTCTTACCAAAATGCCATTACTTTAATCAAAATATTTTTCTCAATGCAAAGACGGTTATAATAATTCCAAGATCGCGATATCGCTCTCAGAACATTCACGCTAATTAAAAGTGATTGAAAATATAATAGTAATATGTTGATAACTCGCAAATTAATATTGGGCCGACGCACATATATTGACTATTTTATTTAAAATATCATAGCTAAAAGGTTTGCTTAAACGAGTTGGGATAATGATGTAATATCCATTTTTATTAATTAATTGTCTATTAATTAAAATTTTAATTTTGATTTAATTTACTTTTTACCTTTTTCTTAGAATAAAAAAAGAATAAAGAGTGAGATTAAGTTAATGTAGAAATGGATATAAGAATCTTTGTTCAATTCTAAAATTTTAAAAAGTAAATTTGCCTTGAAAACAAAAAGCTAGAATAGATGAAAAATGATAAATCGGTAACAAAAGAATATAGCGAATCCTGATCACGTCTTGTCGTTTGAATAGAAAAATTTTATTCTAGTATCGTTCGTTTCTCGTGTGAAGCATGCTTTTATACGGGATTCAGTGTATAAACAACCAATCCTGTAGGAGGAGTATTACTGTGATTTCTGCCCAGCTGGATTACCAATGGAAATACCATTACGAGATAGTCACCGTTGACAGTTAATGGTGTCAACGGCGCGCATTCGCCACTGGTTTGTCTTTACCGACCGCTTAAGGGAGCGCATGCGGTTGCGGAATGTTTCATCCGTGTGGAAAGAAAGCAAAGCCTATTCTCTCTCTCTCTCTCTCTCTCTCTCTCTCTCTCTCTCTCTCTCCAACAAAAAGTACGAATTGAGACTTTATTATAGTCTTTCATTAATGAAGACTGCAAAACAAACCGCGATGAACAGCGTCAAACGAGCCAGTTATGATTATTAAAATACAGTAAATAAATTTTTTTTAAGAGTCTTTTCTCTAAAAATTTTAGAGTGAATCTCACTCTAAGGAATGAAATCTTATTCTTAAAGATTAAAAATTATTCTTTTCAAGGTTGGCTCAATTTTTATCCTTTAAGATTCCATTTCAATCAACACGGAAAGAATGATTTTGCTATGTAAACATTTAAACTAAATACATATCCGAAAATAATTTGGTGTACTATCAAAATAATTATATAGAACGCTTAAGTTTGGTTGGTTGTAAAATGTCAAAATTTTTGACAGCATTGCTCATTATACTTGAATTTACTATGTAATTATTTTGACAGTCTAACAAAATTATTTTCAAATCTGTATTTAGCTATATTTTTAGATATTTCAACAAAATCATATTTTCCGTAAAGAATTTGAGGATATTAAATTAATATTTACAATGCTATAATCCGAATATGATCTTTCAATTATTCAAAACAATTATTATCCGAGATTATTCAAATCCAGGTACTCGAATTATCTGGATAATTCGAATCTTAGGTCTTTATTAATTATAACCATCTTTTCGCTGATAATATTTCCGAAAGACCTGAAAAATGTAGTAATTTAAAAGATGAATCTTAAAAATCAATTTAATATTCGTAACTTATGTAAACGTAATTTAAATGAGAGACTCGATGGTTTGGTATTCGAAAAGTCCAATGCGTAAATTTAAATTCGAACTCTAGCAAATTATAAGGCGTCTCTATTCTTGGATTCTGTTCAATTACAATCGGCCTCTCGTCCGCAACTTTCGAAAAATCGCCGGCGACGGAACGGTCGCGCATAGATCGAATTCAAGGTGTGATTTCCGATCGATCGATCGGCCGCGCCGATTACGCCGCCTCTTTAGTGTTCTCCCACGGACTTTACCTTCTATGCCGTGTATCCAGCGCCTACACGCGCGCACGCACGCACGCACGCACGCATGGACGCACGCACACGCTAGCTAATGCAAAAGTGACGTTGACGTCACGCGTCCGTACATGGCCTCACCGTGAAAACCGTGTGGGTGTCGCGCGTTATAAATTACTTCGTCTTGGACTTTTTCCCCTGTTACTCCACATCCTTCTTCCATTCCCGTCCCGATCGCCTCTTTAATCTTCAAATCTTCGAATGAAGAGAAAAAAACTGCATTTGTAGATTCTGACTAACTCGATAAAAAACTTAGAAAAGACAGAGTGAAGTCAGAATCATTAAGAAGAAAAAGCCGAATAAGTCTAGAACGATCGTTTTTTATTAACATAAAGCGAATGTATTTTCGATCTGATGTCAAATTTAAAATTGTACAATAATACCTCAACTAAGGCTTAATAATATTTCAAATATCTTATGTCTTAATCTCGCGTACAAAATGATGCCGTTCGATGAAGATTCAAATGATCTTCGTTTATGGTCGTTCAGTAAAGCTATTTACTGTATACATAATACATACAATAGTTTATTTTGACTTTAACCCTTCGTGGTCCAACCGGGGCTTTGAAGAGCCAGGCAAATACAAATGAAAACATTTCGGGTCATATTATTGTAAAATCGTATTCTTGAATGTATCAGAATTTTTTCAGATTTTAGAGCCCAAAAATTCTTTGAAAAATACAATCTGACACTAGTGAATCGATTGGATTAGAAAAACAGTAAAAAAACATTGAACTACGGTGGGTTAATATGATCTGAACATATGCTTCTCACATATTGCATTTTATTTACGAATTGTCAGTAGTGCGGTAAGATCATTTTCTAGCAATCAAATGGGGATTGTCAACTGTCGATGCTCAAGTTATCACATCGAGATGTATTAATATCGTTAAATTGATGCTTAATGATGCCGTCGAACACCATTGTTTATCGTCTACACCTATAAGGTGCGCGTGGATGCCTGTTACCTGCTGAATTACCGATTATCCTGCCCACGTTTGCCTATCTGGCGAAAGGTCTTGGTGCGTTTCAGCCGCTTTGTCGAACTCCGGTCGTTTATATTTTTGAAATGTCCGTAAACTGCCTCCACCAAGCCTCTTTTGTGGTCGTGAAGACTTACTAATTTCCACTTCTGTTAAAGAGTTAAATAGGAAAAAATGAAAGTTTAAACATTAGGCTAGTAGCGCATATTTGTGTTCGAACCTATATATAAATCAACTCAATGCTGAGAAAGCAATAATTAAAATTTCGATTAATTCAAATATAGGCGATAAATATAGATTGAATGTTTCTTGCCTACATGTTATGGTTAAAGATTTGAATGAATACTTAAGAATCTTTGAAGAGATATCTATAAATTTAAAAAGTTATAAATAAACCGAGAAAACTTTTGCACTTTTGCTTCAACTTAGAATGTATATTTCCATTATATATAATTTTTATCGTTAAATTAAAAAACATACTTAAGTCCATTGCCGATGGTACAGTAAATCCGAAAGATTTGGCGAATTTCGGCAGATCTAGAGTTTCTATATCAAAGAGCTTCAAATGATGTGAATAATACGCTCTAACGTTATTCTTGAAGGCTTCCTTTACCAACTGGTGTAAGAAGTAATTCTTCGATATTAACTTTTCAAGCTAAAACAGAAGATGTCTTATATAATATCTTTATAGGTACTGAATATCTACGCAGATAGTTAAATTAAGAATTGTACACATTTCAATTCTCTACTAAAAAATGCGGTGAAATCATACATTCTCATGAATGTTTTAATATCTCTTAGTTTCAGTTTAAACTCAGTGTTTAAATTCAAATCCAGATAAAAAATACAATAAATTTTAAAAGAGAAAATTACGTAATATATTCATTGCTTGTACCTGTAATTGTATAGCAGCAATTTTATTCCAAGAGAATTTGTATTCGTTTATGGATACATGAGCTATTTCGAGATAATGAAGGAAGCCAAGTTCCTCTGGTCGTAATATCAGCAATGCATGACCGCTGCTATCGTCTCCGCGAGCGGTTCGACCAATACGACGGATGTATTCCTAAAAGTCAAATTCAATGTTAAGAATCGTTGTTCATTAATTAGTATTTATTATTGAGAAAATTATCGTATTAATTATTTTAATACTAATTTCTTTTAATAGTAAGTAAAATAAATAATGGGATAATTTTATTACCATGGGATCATCTGGTGGATCGTACTGTCCAGTTAACATCAGGTATATCCAGATCTCTCGCAGCCACGTCAGTGAAGAGCAAAATTCTCGAAGAAGCATTACAAAATTGATGAAAGGTCGTAATTCTTTTTGTCTGTTTCTGTTTGCTCTGTTAATGAAAGCATGAACACTAAGTTGTTCATGAAAATGTTGTGATTTCGAGTGGCATCGGAAAAAATCTAATAACATACATGTATACTCATCATTGGTAAATCAATGTAGTTTAAAAGTTCATGGTAATATTTAACGGACATGCAAGAATTGAAGAAGACCATCATCTTTTTTTTGTTTTTCTTTAAGAACATGAACAAAAGTAGAAATCTTTTCTCGCTCGGACATGCTATGTAACCTTGCTGTAAGCCCTCCACAGTCGCCATTTCCTTGTCGTCGTCGACTTCCACATATATAGGTTTTTTAGCGCTAATTTTGTTATTATTGCTACCTTCTGCGTATGTGTCGCACTGAAGAGAATAGTTTGCCGACGTTCTGCAACAGTAATTCAAGTTGTAAGGACAAAAACAATTTACTTTTAATAATTAATACGCAATGTACTTACTGGAAAGAATATTGACGATTTCAACTCTTCCTCGTATTCAATATCTAGAATAAGATCCGCTTCGCCAATAATCAAACGTTGAAAATTTTTATAGAAGAAATCAAGTATGTTTTGTAAATGATTTAATAATCGTTTTGGCGTTGTCACGGATATTGATCCCTTTTCCAAGTTTTTGCATTTTGGTCTATCCACTGGCACCATTCATCAGAAGACTATATATGTGATAATGATATTTCATTAATTCTTCCGAGACTCCAAAAGTTTGCATAGACAATTCTCTCTTGTGGTAGATATAATGATGCCACCAGTACCTGTAAACATTAATCCATTTAAACTTGCTGTTGATTTCTTATAACTAGATTGTTAGAATGATTGAGATAGTTTTATTCTTATTAGTAGCTTTTCCTTTTAATTCATCTCAATATAATTTAAAGATAGAAATTAAAACGTTATATATATCAACTGGATATATCATCATTGAATATTTTATACTTTATACTGGACAAAAATTACAGTTGCATTTGAATAATTTTTTATTTACATAAAAATAAATTCATAAAGAATATTTACATAAAAATAATTTCATTATTTATGAAGTAAAAAACAATCTATAAATGCTTTTCTAACATTGGCTACCAAGTTTACATACCATTATAAGGCATAAACTTCCACCTATAAATTAATTTAACAGCGGGAATTAAAAACGCCAGGGTTTTGTCAGATACGGTTTTAGCAACACCAACCAAATCTCTCCCTTCAAGAAGGGTTGGAATAGCTAATGCTTGTATCTCAGTCATATGTATAAAACCCGTATTCTCCATTGCCTTCATCTGGCTCAATATTAAGCAACTTGTATCATTCATCATTTCAAAATCTACAGCTGTGTCAGGTGCTAAATAACAATATATATAATACTAAATAACAATGGCTGCGTTCTATTTAATGCTTACAACGTTTATAGAATGATTTCATTCTTGTCATTTATCAAATGTTAAACAAGGATGCTCGTGAGCAATATGTATAATATTATTAGAAAGTACAGAAATATCATTCAGTTACTAGCTTAATTATATCAGAAGTATATACAATTCTCAGAAATTGAGGACTATTTAGCTATCTCCTCAGACTCTTCATTTTTCTTGGATTCTTTTGATTTCATCTTTCTAAAAAAAAGATATATGGATTACTATTAATAATAATTTAATAAAACAGAAAATAAACATGATTAATTCTGTAAATAGCGTTACAATTTCACTCATAAAAAATTCACACTTTGTACGTTTAAAATAATTACAAAAATAAATTGTAGGAATAAGTTAGAAGAATTTATAGATTTTTTGGAGAGATATTTTTTGTGTTTTGTTGACTTGTCTAAGATATTTTTTCTGATCTGATTGTATAATCTGTACAACGAAAGTATTTTATTGAAGATAAATAATGCTAAAGACGCATTTATAGCAAAAGTACAAAAGAAGATTGATATTGAGAGATGATTAGCTTTGCCACACAATTTTCTAAAATACGAAATTATTATTTAGATGTTTCATGAGAGCTAACCTCAAAAATTAAAATATTTTTACCTTTTTGCTCTTCCCGCCGTTTTAGTAATATTAATTTTGTCTTTTCACGTTTTATAATTTTTCGTATCAGCACTTTTTCAGGAACCGACATTTTTTGAGGTTGCAGAACAATATCTTAAAGATATCAAAGATTGTTTACAGTCTCTATTAGAACTCATTGGACGCATTCAAACTTCAAACCACTTCAAACGAGACAAAGCTGCTAATGCTAGCCTGCTTGCCGAGTAATTGAATGTGATTAGTTGGATCTATCAGTAACAACCAATCACGTTCATTTGCATGGCGAGCAGGCTAGCCGTTTTGTTGATTTGAAAGTAAAGTTAATTCGTTAGATTCGTAATAATTCGTATAGGCGTGTATTTCGTTTCATGCATAATGTGCATATAATGCATCATTTATCCTTGTTTAACATTTGGTGAATAACAAAAATAAATGATGAATCATGTGTGAAACGGAGTGCATCTATAGATTGCGCGTTCCCATTAGAAATGCAAAATATGTAGTTTAAAACATGAATGTAGGTATCTATCTTTTGTAACATTTATTATAAACAATTTTACATATATATGCATTGTTATTCTGTGTGTGTTATATATACCATACGTGTACTATCCGCCTAGAACAGCAATGAAAATAATTATTTCAAAAAATTGCTTCAAAAACATATATGAATAATCAAGATATTAAATACAAAATATCTTTTACTATATACAGGGTGTTTCCTATAATTTGATCACCTATACAAAATATCTCATTGTTTTTAATGATATGAGAAAATGCCAAAGGAGAAAGTTCGATTGAAAGGAGCACATATTATGTTATTAAGCAAAAAATTTTTCTCAAGGTCATATTTTTTTAAATTTCAAGATCACTTCCACTTTTTCAAATGGAATAGCATGATTTTTTTTACACAATATGATTCCTGTAATTATTCTGAATATAAAAGTATTAAGGTAGTGATATAAAAAAACAATAGTTTACGAGATATTTTATACTTTATTCTGTCACATGTTGGCATAAAATATTAAATATCTCGTAAACTATTTTTTTATAATCATATTTTTTTTTAATACTTCTATGAACAGAATAATGAGATGAACTATATTGTGTAAAAAAAATCATAAAATTCCACTTAAAAAAGTGAAGATTATCTTGAAATCTCAAAAAATATGACATATTGAGAAAAATTTTTTGCTCATAATATGTGCCTCTGCTTCGAATACTTTCTACTTTGGTATTTTCTTCTATCATTAAAAACAACGATATTCTAGATGGTCAAGTTAGAGGAAACACCCTGTATATTAAGTAATTAAGATTATATGTAGTACTTCATAAATTCCTTAGATTTTCATGAAACGGTAAGTATGCAACTTGCACTCTTGTCAATAGAACATAAAATATTTTCGCATACATATTCATCACTAGCTTTTTGTAGCTTTTATGCACGCTCGCACGCGCGCACTTTCCATATACATAGAGGAAAGCCCCCTATTATGAGATAGCTGCCTAATATGAGATTGCGACATTTCTGCTAAACTAATAAACGCTATCTATTGGTTCTACCATGAATTTATTGCTCTGGGATTGAAAACTATTTAGTAGAAAATTCATTATTAGATCATGCCTTAGTCATTGTAAAAAAAGATTTTAGAATTTGGATATCTTCAAGTTTCATTGAGATGAACCTTTAAATCTTGTTTATTATTTAATAAATAAATATTTGACAATAAATTCTTCATGTAGTTTTAGAGTAAGGTCGTATTAATAGAAAAAAAACGGGATGTTGAATTGTTTAATTACAGAAGTTAGATTTGATAATCATAAAACTATAAGGCGTGGAAATCGTAATAAAAGTTACCCAGAGTATTTCTAATACGAAATAACCCATGCTCCTATCTTATACTGAAAATCGTTGCAAAAGAGTAAATGTTATTGTACTATAATAAAACGGACAACGGAATGAACGTCCAGTGCCTATTTCTGCGATGCTTGACTCCAACTACCTGAAGACAGGGTTATTTTGTTTAAAACTATTTTTTTAAACAAATATTTAAAACATGTTTTAATCATTAGATTAAATTAAACGTTTGTCTTTACGGAAAAATTTTTCTTTACGGATTACTATTCGTGTACGACATATATGAGAAAAGTGTGTACTAGTGATAAATGTAAAATAAATGTAAATTAAATCTAAAATAAATATTAAAGGAACGTGAAAAGAATATATTTAAGTTAACGCGCGTGTGCATGTATGTTACAAAAGACTATAATAAATGTGAAGTAAATGTAAAATAAATGTGAGAGAGAATTAAATATAAAATAAATAATATAATATATTATAGGACCGTACATGTGATAACACAAACTATAGAAATCAAAGCCTTACACGGTCTAGCTGGATCTTAATGCTTGTATGATTCTTATGTGAATTTATATACTACGTATGTAGTCCCTAAACGATCTTAATAATGATGAATAACATATTAAAAACTGTAAATAATTAATTCTTATTGCGAAAAATATTAACTCGTGATATTACTGCGGTAGTTTAGTAGAGTTAGCGTTTCAAGACCGGAAATTTTTCGGCGCGCGTTTCTGTCTATTAGGCCGAATTCTTTCTTTTTGAATAAGTGTTTTTCTGAATAATAATTTTTGTTTTTTATAACTAGCCCATTTTAAGCGTGTGCTACATATATATATATATATATATATATAAAACTGATATATATATGTAACTGATATATATATGATTGATTATTTATCTTAGTATTTGAAGTACAAAATATATTTTCATATGTTCCCATAAAATACAAAATATAAAACATATACTACACTGAAATACAAAATACAATTGTTTTATATACTGTTTTTCAATTAAAAATATTTCAAATACATACCCAGCCTTACTGACATTCAACATTTTCTCAGATATTACCCAGATAACACAAACACTTTCAATAAATATTCTATAAACATTCGTGGAGAATATTAAAATATTCTTACAATATATTAAAAAATATTTTATAAACATACACAGAATGTCAAAATGAGACCAATTTAAATATTCCAGATAGATCGGAATGAATATTCTTTTTCATATTCTAAGAATATTCAGAGAACGTATTTAGTTCAATATAAAGAAAATTTACAAAATATTCTCCCTAAAACTAAGGAGTCTCCCTTACCAATATGAAGGTTAGGAAATTTATCTCATTCTAAGCAAACAAGGTGATGTGAGAAATTGATAATAATGGCCTTCCAACAAAAGAGACACACATACATGACACGATGTGATACAGCTAGCAGTGCATCGCATTACGTTCTTGTTGTTTGTCAATATTAAACAAAAGGATGAGATGATCACTGTGTACTTGTACTTAGTCGCTAATTGTTGGAAGATACCCAATATTTATCATTTTTATTAGTATATTCTTTTGTTTTTCTTATTAATTTTCATCTGAACTTAACTTTGGTTTAATTGCGTAAACTTAATTGCTCACACGGCGTGTTCTTTTCACTGGCACATAGGTATCTTTTATTTTGATGATGCGAATGGGCGCGAATGCCGCAAGGCGCGAATGGCAACGAACGGACATGAATAATGCAGCACAAAAAGATCGAGATTGATGGATTCCGATATTGAAAACGCCATCTACATCTTCAGTACATTTAAATATTCTATGAACATTTAGAGAACATTTTTTTAAACAACATGATCTTATTACTAATTTTAACATATTCTAGGCAGATTTACAGATTGTTTCTTATAAATAAGAATATTCTGTGAATACGTATAGATGATTTTCTTGAGAATATTCTTGTAAAGGTATATTTGAACCTTCATAGAATATTTATACAATATTGTGTGTTATCTGGGTATATACATAAACTTAAAATAAATAATAAAGGATAAAAGAAAGAAAAAGAGTAATATATAAAAGGTAGATTTATAATTTTATATTTATTTCCTCGAATTATAAGCACACAGAATTAAAATTTCATCCTGTGTAGATACTGACTGCTTCGTAATCCAAACATTGCTGACAGATATGTGAACAGCAACTTCTTATCTGGATGTTTCTTAATAGCGTCAATTACCATTTTGTCAACGATTTTTTGATTAGCCTTTCTTTGGTCGCTTGGTTTATATTCTTCCTTCCTTTTACTGAAGATGTCACCTTCCTCCTTTTTGGCGCGCTTGTCATGTTTTCTTTTGAAATAATCATCATTAATGTGTCCAAGCAATTTGGTGCCTTTGATATTCAGTTTCGAGGAGGTAACGATCACATAATTTTGACTAACTCTTCGTAAAGGGCAGGCATTTATCAGGAATGGTCCTACGAGAATTTGTTAATTGTTATAAATTATAAGTCTCGTTTTAATTTTATAATAAAATATCTATCACAAAATATAAATTCACATACCAGTAATCAAAAGTAAGCCACTCTTTAATTGTTTCAGATATACCACTCTCTTTCCTTTATGAGGACCAGCCAACAGGATACAGATTGTTCCTGGTGTAAAGGCCATTCTCCATAAGATGCAGAACGCGGGTTGCAGGTCGCAAAACTAGAAACTAACCTAACGTATTTTAGTTATGATATGATTGTAAGACGCAGGACGCAGTACGCGAAAGTTGAAGTTGACCCAACTTTCTGCGTCCTGCGTTCTACGTCCTACAATTATATCATAACTAAAATACGTTAGGTTAGTTTCTAGTTTTGCGACCTGCAACCCGCGTTCTGCGTCTTATGGAGAATGGCCTTCAGAGTAGGTCTCAAGTAACTAAGATGCTCATGGAGTAATATATAAAAGGTAGATTTAGAATTTATGTCCTCGAATTATAAGCACAGAGAATTAAAATTTCATTCTGTGTGGATACTGACTGTTTCGTAGTCCAAACATTGCTGACAGATATGTGAACAGCAACTTCTTATCAGGATGTTTTTTAACAGCGTCAATTACCATTTTGTCAACAATTTTTTGATCAGCCTTTCTTTGATCGCTTGGTTTATATTCTTCCTTCTTTTTACTGAAGATGTCACCTTCCTCCTTTTTGGCGCGCTAGTCACGTTTTCTTATGAAATAATCATCATTAATGTGTCCAAGCAATTTGGTGCCTTTGATATTCAGTTTCGAGGAGGTAGCGATCACATAATTTTGACTAACACTTCGCAAAGGACAGGCATTTATCAGAAATGGTCCTACGAAAAATTTGTTAATAACTGTTATAAATTATAAGTCTTGTTTTAATTTTATAATAAAATATCTATCACAAAATATAATTCACATACCAGTAATCAAAAGTAAGCCACTCTTTAATTGTTTCAGATATACCACTCTCTTTCCTTTATGAGGACCAGCCAACAGGATACAGATTGTTCCTGGTGTCAGAGTAGGTCTCAAGTAACGACGATGCTCATGGAAACATTTTGTTGCAGCTGGAGCAGCTGCAGCCTTCTTCTCAAGCATTTGAGCTTTTAGGTACGTTCCGTTTCTCGCATGATAGGCATAATGCGTCATTTTCCTTGTTGTGCAGCAAATGTTAAACAAGGCCAAAGGATGCATCATGCATATTATGCACGATACGGAACGCACCTTTCGTGTCCACCATCTACAAAAATAAATATACAATTAAATTTAATTACTAAAGAAACAAGGTTTATTATTGATAAGTTTGTTTCTTTTCTCGTACAGATTCTGCATGTGAAACATGGAAGCATGACTTTTATAACCTCTAAACTACAATAGGCAATTAAGCATATCTAGAAATTAGATACAATAGATATTTTTTTTTAACTGAACTTGAACAGTTTTTGATTTTTTTTCTCCAAGGTAGAGAAAAAAAAAGAATGATGAACCATGCATAATGTTTGAAAGAACATGTCTAATTTTTTTATACTTGCACACAGTACCGCTGTAGTTTAGAGGTTATAAAAGTCATGCTTCCATGTTTCACATGCAGAATGCGTACGAGAAAAGAAACAAATTTATCAATAATAACTTATTAATAGTTGAAATTACAATTAATCTCTATAAATCCAAAGAGGGTAAAATACATCTATTTATAATTTGAAATATCAGACACAAAGGAGGTACACGTGTACTTGACGAAAAAATAAAATCAACTCTTAATATCGCAAAAATATAGTGTCACTCGAAGAGATTAGATCCAAATTATATGATATTAAGTTGTCAATTACAATATATTTTTGTTATAACAACCAGATTCCTACGATAACATTAAATCATTTGTCATATTACTATCTTACCGTAAAGCGATTAGCGAAAACCGCGAATAGCCGAAAGAGTATGCGAAACTGCTACACCTATTAGGAAAAATATGAACCATGATCGATACAAATATCGACGTGGAGCGAGATATATCGATAGTAAAATGCTTTTCAAATCAATGAAAATAATCACGGATCGCCCAAGTTTCTCACAAAATATAATTATTGTAACTACTAAATTACCATATAATAATGTTATAATATTTATAATAAATTTAAAAAATAATAGAATTTATTAAATTATGATTAATTTTAATTTTTTCTTAAAATACTAATTATATACTAATACTATATTATTTAATCCATGCATTAATTATACTTGCAGAAAAACATAGTAATAGCAACTAGATGGGCAATAAGTTTTATATGTAGACTTAATGTACACACATATAGTTGAAGAATTTATTTTATAACTACAAAATAATTTATCTAACTATGTATACAGTGTTCGCACAAAGTTTTGACAAAGTGCTCGTGTGTACATAGAGTGGACTAAACTGAGTCGAAAAGTCCTCTAC